TTTTGGAAATCGGCCATGCTTTTGACCGTGACGATTCCTTGGTTTGCGGCACTATCGACCGTAATGATTCCTTGGATTGCGGCAGTGTCAAAATACGCTGCCGCTCGTTGAGAGAGACGAATATGTTAAAACGTAGCACTTTGAGAGCGAAGCACAAGGATAAAGTGGTCAAGAGTATGTGTGGGGGCACGGCTGGCTAGTGAATTGTGTGTGTCTAAGCTATGTTCTACTGATCGCTTCCAATCCCCCTTCATAATCCTTGTGTGGGTCATGTGACCTGTGCCAAGTGCCAAGCATATCTGCTAGTCACAGTCACTAATACTATTCAGAGTAGGAGACATCAGTAATCGCTTAATAACAGAATATGTGCGATACATTGATGGACGAAGGGATGATCGGGGTCCTACATCCAGGCTCAACTGCAAGCTATTTAGTCACAATGCTGTGGCAATAGGATGGGAAATAGTTACCCTTCAAGGGTCGAAATCCTCTGGTTCGGAGAACCCAAAATCATTCAGCAGAATGCGTCCGAGAGTTTGGGTCCGCCGCAAAGTAATACTCCAAGTCCGTGCGGAACGCGGAAATCTGGCTGATGAGGTCGTTGCTGGACTGAACGGTACTGCAATCGGGCAAGGGTCTACTGCTTCTGGAGCCCGAGCCCGACGGCCCAGCCTGGTGCAAGGACGAAACTACCCTTCCCTTGTCCTTGACCTCGGCCGCAGCCGAGGCCCTGTCCACCGAGGTCTCGTCACCCGGAAAATACAGAATGACGTGTTTGAGGCCGCTGTCCGGCACGGTGAAGGTGTCCACGCAGCGGGACGAATCGAGGTTTGCTGGCGTTAAAGAAGCACTCGCGAAGCGAAGGCTCAGTAGCAATAAATAGAATGGGAGGTGAGAGCTCCGCACGATAAATGTCTGTCCTTCGGGCAAAAACTGTGGCCTTATACGTGGATAACTCTCCATATTTCAACTCATACTGCCGCATATAGGTATAGGATAAGAATTGTCCTTATGCTCGAGAGTTAGCAAGCTGGGTCTAGCTGTGGGCAAGGGGAATGAGTATACCTATTGGGCGTTCTGACCGTATCCTTGATAAAATGGAAGGGGGCGTTAATCGGATAAACTTCGAGGGGGGAAATCCTGAAGGTCTTCATCTCTCCCACAGTACGGACTTGACATACTTGTGTGCAGACTGTACTGCGCTGTGAGACCTCTTGTGTGATTTGGGACGTATCCAATCACATCTTCAGATGCAACAACCCGCTCCACTGGCGCCACAAAGTTGACGATTGTCACCGTCCCGGCCGCATACGATTTCGGCAAAATTTCCTCGATGTACTTGGCCATTGACCCCACTGCGATGAACTTCTCCTGCTGTGGGCGTGGCTTGAGGTGCTCTGAGATGAGTTTACGTACGCTGGGGAGGTTCCGAGCGATCCAGTTACCTGTCCCCTGGACGTTTGCATCCTTCCTGCCCAGGGCTCTGGATTCTGAATCCTCGTCGCCAGGCAGGTCAATAATGGTGACCGTCCCGCCACGCCGGGTTGCACATCGCCAAACTTGAGTGATCCATCCGTGGTTAAACCGTATGCCCTGCTGAGAGGGCAGTGTTGATGGGCTGATGGGCCGCTTGCAGCAGATGGTGATATAGGTAAGGGCCGCAAAGGGTGTGGGCAAGTTGTGTAGGATGCTCGCAGACTCGCATCTGTCAGCGCGCGAGGAGGTGGGCCTATCAGGAATATGCAATATGATCAGATCTATAGATATTGATTTGGTACTTATATCGAAGCTTCGATCAAGTCATTGACTGAGCTCAAAGATCTAGCTGTGCCGGCCAGTGATGATCTCTTTTACTGATTTGTGGATCACATGACCCATTACAATGTGTGCCAAGGAATAATCCCAATCACACTAAATGCTGCTACCTAAACGAGGAATTCCCAAGTTGAGAAATTCAAAAATCAGATCCACTCCTCCACTTGCAAGCTTGCTTGCATCCGGGATTACGGTGTAATCTCAGATTTCAACATACGTGAGATTGATGTGAGATCACAGGTTAAAAAACGATATATAAGTTAAAAAGTTGCGGATGCATATTGCAATTGAAACCAAGAAAAGTATTCTACCAGTTGACGTCGAAAGAATTATTCTCGCGCTAAGCCAAATATGGCAGTATCGGGATGGGGGAAGCGAGGCTAGACCTCTTATGGGCAGTTTGATAGGAAGCTAGCAGCGACCTAGGCTCTCTTAGTTATTCTGGTTTTTGGTTTTCTACTAAGTTAGGCGAATATAACACTATTTTCTCCACACAAAAAGTATCACAAGCGTACGTATACCACAGACATGTATTGATACGTTATGAAATCTGCTGCAGCTGGAGAGAGAGTCTTTAATGGCCATATTACCCTCAATATTCAAGGAAAAGGAACCCAAGTTGACTATCCTCGAGTACTGCAGAATCCGGACGCTTCCCCCTTAATTATTATTAAGCTTACAATCAATCGATCACGAAAGAAAACCATCAATATATATCCGAATCAAAGTGCCATAAGTGTCAGCTCCAGGTGAGATACAAATATGAATGTAAGTGAATTTGACGTGAGTATCTGGCCATTTTCAATAATTTAAAGGTGCCAAAGTACTTATTTTCTAGATCTAGATCGCTCATAATTTATATTATAATGATATCCAGAGAATATTTTTCAGAAATACATTTCAACGAGCAATTATCAGATCGAGGAACCACATGTCAGATTTGAAAAACCATGCATACATCCACGATATACCACCCATCAATCTCCCCCCCCCTCCCCTTCCTCCCCTTCCTCCTCACCATCAAAACAACGTTGCATCAACACACCTTAAATCCACCTCCATCGACCAGCAAACCTCCCCATTATCAGGGCAGCAAACCGGCGGCCAGAATTTATACTCCTCACAGCACCTCGGGTACCTCGGGTTATCGCAGTAATATGAAGGAGAGCATTTCTCCTGCGCAATCTCGACCACTTCGTTGTCTTTGGTTGCGGGGAAGGAGGGGAAGCCGCCGATGATGTCGCTGGGTTCGAAATCTCCAGCTGGGGATCGGGAGTCTGTGGTACCGGCGTCCCAGGCCGGGGGTGAGGAGGGAGCCGCGAGTGTGAGCGGAAGGAGCACGAGGTATAGGGAGAGGAGGCCAAAGATGAGGACGAGGTTAAGGTTGAGGAAGTGAAGGTGGATGGGTTTCATCGTTGGTGAAATAATATAAAGTGAGCTTTTAATTTTTTTTTTTTTTTAAAAACTTTTTTTATTGGGGTTTCCGATATGATGATCAATCAATCAAAATCTTTGAGATTCACAGATGCAGATGGAGTTTGGGCTGGGCTGGCTGGAGAAGTTATCTTCAAAGACTGGCTTCAGGAGATGATTTATAGCTATAGTATATACTTCTATCCAACCAATATCGAGTATACGTCTACCAAATCTATGCATTAATATTTGATTTTTTTTTCTCACATCAAGCAAATTAACGTATACGTACGCCCCATCGATCGATCAATTACCAATTCCGGCGCCTTAACTTAAACTCCAAGTGCAAAGACTACTCCAAGTGACACAGTTTCGAGAAGTTGTCACAACTTCCTCGAGTTGTACGTATACCTCGGTCGCTGGCCCATGATCATGATGTTAAACCATGCCCAATGATAAACAAAGTTTAGTGCTATAGTATACTGTGCTATATCTAGAAGTATGCTACGAATCGACACTATCGATCGCGATATCCAAAGCAGAATCAAAATCCGCAGGTCTTAACCTAGCATGAGAATTCCGAATATCCATGACGTCGACGGTGGAAGTATAATTATAAATAAACGCAAGTAAGGGCCCGAACGTCCATGGCCGGCTTGGGTTTAAAATTTCATGTGATCATGATAAATCTCGGTCGTGAAAATTTTTAAATGTATTTAAAGCTAACATTGCATTGATATCGATAATTTGGCCGAGGTACCAGTAGTAACCGGTACTCGCGATCGGGGTGTGCACGAAATACTGAAAAATCCGCTTGATTCACAGGGTTGAGACTAGCAGGACTTAAACAACATGAATTGTACATGTCGGAGTGGTGTTTCTCAATTGCAATAGATTGGAGAGAATAGTACTGGAGAGCGGCCGGCGGCCTGCTAGTAATTTATTAGCGACTTTTCAGTATTTCGTGCACACCCCGAGTACTGGTATAGTATATGTATGTATTTAACGTAAATCCAGACATTCCAATACTATATATAACTGTATACCTTTTCATAACCAAGACCTATCGAGGCATATCTCTCCAATCCACCATTTCCAATCTTCAATCATCTCCCCTCTATAAGATATCAAGAGTTCAGGGTAATCAATCTCGTCTGTGTTGCATACAATATGTACCTAATGTAGGTACAGCATATAGTATGCACGCAGGCTTGCTTAAGCTTAAGCTTGAGTGAGTATTTTTGCAACTTGCATTGACATGTATACAGCTAGAATCGTGCACCCGAGTTATAGTCTCGTGCCCACCGAGTTATCCTGGTATAATTTTTGATTGTTAGAATAACAGTACTATAACGTTCTTCTACTCGCCATTGTGTACCATGGAGTTTCAACTTTTCGCACGCGGCGGGCAGGAATTATATGCACAGTTTAATCAAGTCCTGCATACCTTGCAATTGTAACATATGTCGACCTCTATATTAAATGCAGTACTTGTATGCACACCGCGCGCCGATATATATATATGTATCGATATTAATTATGCACACGTCTAAATCTATGTATGCACTCCACTACATCTACAAAAAACCCGAAAAAGGAAAAGAAATCCTGCATAATAAAATAATCTACCCAAGGTACTGTTCTCGTGCCACAATTTCTACCAAAAGCAAAAAAAAAATTAAAAGTTCCCGCCACCCCTCCTCCAACGAAACGAAACCAAACGAAACACAAAGGGCGGGTGGGTGCCCCAAAACCACACCAAAAAAATTCCAAGGTCGAACTGGGAGTCGAACCCAGGTCACAAGAAAAATTCTCTCCATTCTTTCAAATTTCAGATCAAAATCTTATGTGCTACCGTTACACCATTCAACCCGACTGTGAACCTTCTGCTCCAGTGGGGTGATTTGTGATTTGCGTTTCAAGTCCCGCGCGCGCCACAGAGGGGGTTCGTCGTTAAGATAGGTATGTATAGCTGAAAGACTGGTGGGCCGGGGCAAGGAAGTTCGTTGATCTTGAATACTTTATAACAAATGTTGTTATCAAACAAAGTACATGTATACATGCAGTAATCTGATCATGATGCCAATAATAAATTTAAATAAAATGAATGTAAACTTTCATCAAACTAACTAACTAGCTATGAAAGCCCTCACCCCCATTTCTCCCCCCGGGCAGCTACCCAAAAAATCTCCCCCGTATCGATATCCCCCAACATGCATGATGATATATGCTCCTCTCCGTGCGCAAGGAATGAGATAATCCAGAATCATGAAGTAGGGTGGGTTCGTACATACGAGGTAAGTAGGATGGGGAAGGGGAGGGGGGATTGTAGATGATTGTGATAATGACGATGATGTTGACGATGTTGTTGTTGTTATTGCAATTGCAAATTGCCCGACCTGCTTCGAATTCGCAATCGATCGAGTTCAGGCAAAAAAAAATTGCAAAAAACAAAAAACAAAAAACAAAAAAAAAGAAAGAATGTGAGGAAAGAAAAGTTGAAAATAAGAAAATTTCCAGACCCGTTATCCTCCAAAAAATATTCCATCCCAGCGGCTAGCTATCCCATTGCAATTTTCCGTCCCCTAGGCTTTTCCAAGACTTCCCAATGATTGTTGATTTGATAACCGATTCCTCCCCCTCATCTCCCACATGCTATCCAAAGTTTGGCGGTCCAAAAGGCGTGCCAACTTTCCGTGGGAAGAAATGATTTTCAGTTAGCATACGATGTACATGTCTCAGGATCCATTCTCGCGAGATCAAGATTTCATTTTTTGCTACATACCTCACGATCAGATCTAAGCGTAGCAGGTCCACCCGTCCAAAGAGCAATACCTTGCCCACCATGGGCAGCAAGTTGGTGGGTATCTGGCATTGCAGCAAAGGCTGTAGTAAGGGTCATTGCAGTAGTATCCGTTTCCACAGTACGTCTGGATGGAGAAGCTATCGCCCTTGGCGGTGGTGTCCGCAGAGACAATTGCGGGCTTTGCGGCCTCGGACTTCTTGTCGTCTGCGGCAGGGGCAGCGGTGACTGCCAATGCAGAGGCGAATAGGACCAACACGGTGGTAGCTGAGATCTTCATTTCTGTAGATTCGAAAAAGCGAGCAAGTGACTAGTTAGCAGATTTGCTTGCTTAGGCTTTTGTTGTGCAATGGGAAGGGGGAAGAATTCTCGAAGGGGCTTTATTGGAGATATGGAAGAGCTCGAGCTCTCGAGGAGCGGAGAAACATACTGATTGATTTTCAGATTGATTGCTTTTTGCTTTGCGGTGCTAGCTTTTGGCTTTGATGGTTGAGGAGGAGGAGGTTCTTGACTGCTTGCTTGCTTCCCTAACCTTGGGTGGTTCTTCAAATTCGAGCGGGCGATTGGGCTTCCTTTTATATCTTTTTCCTCCTCATCCACTCCCCGCAATTGATCCTCAACTGAATACACGTCTCATGAGCTTCAGCCGCTCGAGAATGATTCTGCAAACACATGTCATCGATCTCAGGCTTCCTAAACAAGAAACCTCCAAACATAGCTGACCGCATATCAGGCCTCCCTCTCCCTCGTCCTCCTCCTTCCCCCTCCCTCCCCCTCCCTCCCCCGGGCCCTCCTCCTCCTCGCCGGTGTGATGATGCTGCAGCATAGTGCATCATCCGGAACGGGCTGTGGACGACGCCCAAGGCTCGAGCTCCTCCCATCCATGATTCGGGTCTATCTATCGGCATCAATATCGATACCAACAGCAATCAGCTCAGGCCACCCATTACGTTAGCCTGATCAATATATTTCCGCATTGGGGAATAATAACAATAATTTCGATACCACCCAATGGCCAACCCACACACACATGATATCTGTCTGCCTTAAGCTTGGTCAAATCATACACATGCACATATATAATACATGCAAGTAGTATAAACCCTGGTAAAAAAAAGAGCCGCAAACTCAAAGCATTTGGCTGGACCACAGCTGAGTAGCTGAGCCTCGTGGCACACACACATACACAGTTTTCCCGAAGGCGTTGTGGCCTGCAGCAGTCGTGCATTTCTGTCAGTGACACAACGCAAGCTTTCCGGTGCATGCCGTTTCTGCCGCGTTCTGGCCAGACAGAACATGCATTTCTAGGGTTCTGATAGTTCTGTGCTACAGTGCAGTGTTCATTCATGATGCACACGCATATTTGATTCATCCAGTTTGAAAATCCCCCGCGTGTGGAGTTTGACTCCAGGCTCGTTGGATTGAGCAAACTTGTGAGCGGTAGCCGGGGCTGTCATGGCCGAAATTCTGCAATTAATCGAATTGCTTGATCTTTGGCCAGTCTTCCTGGTAATCTTAGCTAGAAGATATCGATATCTCATGATAATATCTACTCCATGTATCTATGTCAGCCCAAGCTTCAACTTTCAAGCCCCACCCATATCTCCATCCCACAAACTTCAGAAATAAGCTTCTCTAAACTTTCGAACCTTCTGGCATGCGCGCAGAGATAGAAGCACCGATCGATCGGTAAAGTTAGGTAAAGTTTACCAAAAGAAGTCCATAAATGCATATATCCGCCAGACCTTAGCAATAAACTTTTTATTCAATCTCCCCGGGCCCGCTTACACAAAGATAAGTTTTCCTCCGTAAGCTTATCCCATCGACCCCATGGCCAAAATGCTGTGTCGAGGCTCTCGAAAATGTCCATTAATATGTCCTCACATGATAACTCCGTATCCTGAAATTCCCAGAATGAATTGTTATCGATGCATGCCATCCAAAAACTAGACAATATTTCCATAAAAAGTTTAGAAATCCTATCACAAGGCATTCAGTATGGCCTTGAGGTAGTAGTAAATATTACCCCGCACCTACCCCACTCTCACGCATTCCTGAAACCATCTTTGCCACCAACCGCCACGCACATGCACAAACCATCACGACCACGACCACAGCCCACAACCTCAACCACAACCTGAAAAAGAATCAAGCTTTTCCCTCACTGCAGCATGCACATGCATCGATATCAACCATCACCCACCTCGAGCCTCTCGCGAGGGAGAGAAAAAAATCCATCATATGGCCTTGCCAATGCTGTACTGGGCTGGCGGCTGAGATTGTGTTTGTGTTTGTGTAAAGATAAGCATATGTATGTCTGTGCAGTGCTCACTAATGGCTCCACAAGGCCTGTGATAGTCGTGACAAATATTTTCGAAATGTAGTCGCACAGGTTCTTTCGAAGCCTCAGGGCACTCGCTCTCGGAGTGATAATTCGTTCTTCAGCGCTCATTCTTAGCCTTGTTGAACATTGCACGCTGCAATTGGGCATGTGTGTTGTGTGTGTGTGTTTCCGGATTTGTGGGATCCTACAGATAGATGGGCCCATGGGCCCCGGGCTCGGTAGGCCAAGGTTTCGATATCTCCCATAGCTAGGCTCCACTGATTGTGAGGACATATGTGCCTTGCCTTGAGCTTCGCATAATTGGGCTTGGGCTTGGGCTTGAGTCTGCGGTCAAAGATCATTGGATCGATGTCTAGACGTTTCTGGGCGTAGTAGTGGAATAGAATGTAAAAGGTCTGATCGCCCACTCGCGCTGCTTTCCGGTGGCCCTTCAGCACCACAACCACCCAAACTCCCCACGGTGTAAGCTCATCCCTATCCCATAACCATATCCCTATCCCGTACGCACCTACGTGACACCATCGACGTCACGGATCACGGATCACGGAACCGGAGTCTAGAGTATGGTATGTATGGGCATGTGCAACAATAAGCTTAGCCCAACTTTTATAACTGCATATCTCTCCAACCCCATCGTAAACCTTAGCATATGACCACGTCGAGAGGAGTCGACGTTACTTCAAACCTCGAATCCCGAGCCCGAGCTCCTGTGTGCTGAAATGATCATGATTTCCAAGACGATTGGCTGCAGTGGTGGATTAAAGAAAAGTATCCGAAATCTTGGCGATGCGAGTGGTGGTGCTCCGAGGCGCTGGATTGAGAATACCCAAGAAGAGTGGAATATGATGTCGATGTTGAAGCATAAGAGTGTCACGATGCCGGGGCTGGTCACGATTCTACAAAGGCATGTCAGTGCCAAGACCTGGACCTAACCACTTTACTTTATTTCCATTCCAGGAAGTCGTGAAGTCGCAGCATTCTACTACCTTATGTGGCAAGAACCTAAGATACTTCTTACTTAGCCTCGCTTCGTACTTCTTACTTCTTACACACATACATACATAAGCTCTCTCTTTGCTTGGAAAAGCCGGAGAATCTCGGAGGACCTCAGTGCACCGTGGGCTTATACCTGATAGTATTAATTCAGTCTTGGCACGAGAACAACACCTGCTCACCCCGGAGCCATCCAAATCCCCACCTCACCTCACCTCTCACGAACCCTACATATGTACCCTACACCCAGAGATTACGGTACCGGTCCGGGTGCTGTCCCCTATCCTATGCGAGTCACTAAGCTTTGTCGCCTACCTCCCGCCTCTACATGCATACACATTCCAACTTCGAGTTCCACTAGTCACTCGTGCACAAACCGGTGAAGCGATATCCGGATTCAAGTCCAACGTTCATTGACCCATACATACATACTTTGTTTAGGTACTTACTTTCAACCGGCGATATCGATATAGTACATACATACATACGTAGGTAGTCAGGGATCCCAAATCGTCTGTAGATCAAATCAAAAATTGTACCTCAAACATGAATCCAACGTACATGTACACTCACTAGGTACGTGAAAGTGAATCAAGACCCCATGCATCCTGCAAGTCATACATACATACATACATACATGTCTAGGTTTATGGTGTATGGTATGGTATGGTGGGACAAATGTACAAAAAGTCAGGCGATGCGTATTTTGCAAGTGCAAGCAATCCTCAATCT